AAAAAAAAAAAAAAAAATACAGTTTCTGTGGGTCGACCCATAAGTTGAAAACTACTGGATTAGACAAATAATAGGTCAGGAGAACTAGCTCAGATTAAGTTATAAAAGTTCTGGTATGTTGATGCTAGGAGCTTCAACTTTATCAGAAAAATAATAAGAAGCCATCAAAGAGTTTCAAAAGGGAATAGTCATATTAGTTGACAGATCAGCATTCTCTCCACTCTCAAGTCAATTCAGTGGAGGGTAAACTTTTTTTCTTTGCAGTTTTTTTTTTTGGCCGAGGCTGGGCTTAAACCTGCCACCTCTGGGGTCAGTGCCCTACTTCTTTGAGCCACAGGCGCCCACCATCCTAGAGAGCAAACATTATAAAAAAGAATAATTGGACTGTATGGCATACAGTAAATGTAAGGTTTTTATCCTGAAACTTTTGTTTCACTCATTCACACAATACTTGGTTGTGCTATAAAGTATATTTCTTAACTGGGAGGGCACAGTTACAAAAGTTTGAGAACCACTGTTTTATAGTCACTGGTACTGTGTAGAAAATGGACTTGAGTTAGGAAGCTGATACAGCAGTGCTATACATAGGTCACGAACTAGAGCAATTACAACAAGTGGCGGAAAGAGGAGCAGTTTCACAAAATATGGAAGCAGGAAAAAACTGGCAGAAATTGTGATTGACTAGATGTTAAGAAAAGAGGAGTCTTTAAGATGACTCTCAGATTTCTAGCCTCGACTGTTGTATAACATGACAGGCACACTGACAGAACGTGTAACACTAAGAGAACAGACAGACTCCCCTCCACTTTGTTCTACCCTCTCTTCTTCGACGCAAACCCTGTTTTCTTTTGTTCCTTCTGTCCTTCCGCTGGTTAAGTGGGGTTCAGCCAACCCAGTACTCAGGACTACCACTGAGAAAGTGAAGAAAAGACAGGCTTAGACAAGCTGCCTTTGTTACAGTCATTTCACCCAACACCATCATACATTTTTCCAGACTTCACATAAGATTCTCAACTTTAGCTTATGTCTACACTAGAAAACACACAAACGGATTATCAAGGATAAATGCTAAATATTGCCCAATCTTTTCCCATCCCACAACTACTTACCTACATAACCCTCCCTCTACTCTCGACACTCAAATTATTCACTAACTCAAACTGTTTCATGCTTTCTTCAACAACCCACTTCTTGCTTCTGTTTATTCAAATCCTGAATAGCCCTAGCATTATAGACTCCATTTCACCCAAGAAACCTTTCTCAATCAATCAACCTGAGAATGTTCTTAACCTCTTCTAAATTTATAACACCATTCATTGGACAATTACAAATTACCTTTAGCATTTCCTGCACCTCTTTCTATGTGGTCATATTTCATCAACTAAAAGTCACACTTCTTTTCTTAACATTTCTGAAATCAGGGGCCAGGCGCAGTGGCTCACAGCTATAATCCTAGCACTCTGGGAGGCCAAAATGGGTGGACTGCTTGAGCTCAGGAGTTCAAGACCAGTCTGAGCAAGAGTGAGACCCCATCTCTAAAAATAGTCAGGTGATATGGCCGGTGCCTGTAGTCCCAGCTACTCTGGAGGCTGAAGCAAGACAACCATTTGAGACCAAGAGTTTGAGGTTGCTGTGAGCTATGACACCACCACATTCTCCCCAGGGTGGAAAGTGAGACTTGTCTCAAAAAAAAAGAAAACAAAAACAGTTCTAAAATCAGGATTCCTCTTAGAGGCAGGCATTGCTTATGCATGTGCAAATATCAAAATTGCTAGCATCAACACTTGCAGGTGAAAGTTGATAGCCTAAAGGGATTTCCCAGAAACAATACTGGAGCATAGTAACCAAATCGAGGGAGTAGAAGTTGGTGAATCCCCAAGCAGAAGTCAAAGTAGGCTGGCTTTGCATTATTTGCATAATTACAAAGCAAAAGGCCAGCACTAAAGTCTTTTGGTCTTTTATGGACTCTTTAGAGAACTGCTGTACCAACAACACTCTTGCTGGCACAAAGTGTAATGTATGAAAAATTATAGATATCCACAACTAATTAGTCAAAAACTAATTCAGAAGAGACACTGTCTAAAATAGAAAATTTAGTGATTCTTTAATATGTATTTTTAACTTATAATTTCCTTTTTACTGAATGTGCAAGAAAAATATATGACAAAAATCTATGTTTAACTCTTTTGATAAGTACAAATAAAAATTCAAAGTAACCCAAAAAAGCGTCATATTTTAATTTACTTGGCAATGAAATTTATTGCATCCCAGATTCTTTAGGTAGCATGAAATATAGTATTCAGCATTTCTACTATTTTCCAAATAATATGTATTGTAGATATAATGTTTGTATTCTAACCCCCTAAATTCATAAGTTGAAGCCCTAACCCTTAATGTTACAGCATTTGGAAATGGAGCTTTTAGAAGATAATTAAGTTTAGATGAAGTCATGAGGGTGGGGGGCCTAATGATGGGATCAGTGCCCTTATAAGGAGACACCAGAGAGCATTCTCTCTCTCTGCTTCATGTGAGGGCACAGCAGGAAGGCAGCCATTTGCAAGCCAGGAAGAATGCCTTCACCAAGAACCAACCATGTCAGTACCCTGACTTCCAGCCTCCAAAACTGTTGAGAAAATAAATAGCCGCTGTATAAATCACCCAATCTATGGTTTTCTTGTTATGGCACCCAAGCAGATTAATATAGTCTGATCACTTCAACTAAGTCTAAGTTCCTTGAAGTCTCATTACTTACTTTTGAATGCCCCATTTTACCAAGCATAGTATATATACTGTTACTACTCAATTCCATAATGGAGAAAAGAAACAAAACTTTTGAACACAATAATCTATTTGCCAATTACATCCTCCTAACCCCTAAGTTCCTGGCCATGGTTCTGTATTCAACACAGGGAAAACAATGTCATCATCAACATTCAGGGATAGGAGCATAAAGGATTAAAGGAGGCTCATTCTAGTTAAAACCCTAAAGTTAGCGGAGGTTAAAAGTAAGGCTTCTTACAACCCTGCCCCCTTTATCTTCAACTCTTTTTCTGTATCTCTAACTAAAATGGAAGACTACTGATTTTCTGGATATGAGGCATTTGAAATGCTTAACATCCGTCCTCACTCTGGGCCTCAATAGAAGAAACTCTCCCCATCAATTTTATGGTAACCTAAAGTTGGTATCCACTTTAATGCAGTGAAGTTGAAATAAAGAATAAGGGGGCTAAGGTCATTAGGCGCAGATACTAAGTTTATAGTAAAATAAAATTAAGTTCTCTGTATAATCCACAGGAAAGAGATCTGAAACTAGTGCTAAAAAGACCAATCCATATACTTATAAGCTAGGTACTCTACCTACATGATATCTCCTAAGGCACCAAAGTACAGGCAGTAGGAGTAACCCTCTTTGCAGCTTTTCCCATTAACTAAAGAATCTGTTATATTCTTTTCAACTTTTCAAACTGATTTTAACATGCTGGGGATAGTGTGATTTTCTCTACCTAGCCCAGTGAATAGTAATGCTTTTGGAAATAAAATGTACAAGTATATCTTTCTGAAGGTATTAATGAGTTTGTAATAGACTTACTAATAAATTTAATGAAGACTCTTCTTAAGAGTATCATGTAGCAACATTGTCTACATATTTAATTATCCTTATAATGCTTATATAATTCTCTACAAAAGGCTGGACATGGTGGCTCATCCTGTAATTCTAGCAATCCAGGAGGCTGAGGAGGGTAGATTCCTTGAGCTCAGGAGTTCAAGACCAGCCTGAGCCAGAGCAAGACCCCATCTCTAAAAAAATAGCCAGGCTCCGTGGCAGGTACCTATAGTCCCTGCTGCTTTGAGGGTTGAGGCAAAAGAATCACCTGAGCCCAAGAGTTGGAGGCTGCTGTGAGTCGTATCACTCTACCAACAGTGACAAATTAAGACTCTGTCTCAAAAAAAAAAACAAAAAACCCTCTATAAAAAGATACAATGCAAGGCTTCAATTCTAGAATTAATCTCATATTTGTCATAGTCAATTTTTTTAATCGTTTCAGGTTCATTGAGGGTACAAAGAATTAGGTTGTACTGTTTGCATCCCTACTCCCAAGAGGTGTGAAATACACTGTATGTCATAGCCAGTTCTTTATAATACTTATAAAATAAGTTTTAACTCCATTACTCTGAAACCTCTTAGAAGTTAAATATGTGACTTATTTCATTTGGAGAAAAAAAAAA